ATTGGCAAATTCCCTATAGAAACAAAGAATGGAAGAAAAGAATAATAAAGGCGCCTCAACTTTTCCTCATTTGTGTAGGACAGTCTATAATATACACCCAGACATCCTCCAGTCACACAAGCTGAAAATTGTTCCACTTTACTGAAGTTCTGTAACCATATGGGAACCAATCCTGTGTTCTGTGCACATCCAAAATTCCTGCTGAATGACCCGCCCTGGGAACGAGTTACCAGTGACCCAGGGCTGGGACAGCAGGAGGGTGCAGGTTCGTAGGGGAGAGCCCAGGGCTGGGGCAGCAAGGAGCGGGGGAGGGGGGAGCCCGGGGGGAGGGGGGAGCCCGGGGCTGGGATGGGGGGCAGCCAAAAATTTTTTTGCTTGGGGCGGCCCTGGGTCCAAAGACCAAACCTTAAGGAACCACTAGTAATCGCTCTCCAATCGGATAATTCACCTTTCAGCACAACCCATTGCCTTGTTCCCTTTACCCAATTCCTTAACCCCATTACAATGCTTGTACTGATCCCCATCTTCCCTAATGTAACTAATAATTTCCCACGTGGCTCTGTGCCACATGCTTTATTGAGATCTACTGCACTTCCCTCAGCTAAAAAAAATCAGTTATTTTCTCAAAGAAATCAGATGAGTCTGCCGTGAGCTACCTTTGGTAAACCCATGTTGAATTACATTCCCTTTACTATTTACCACTATGAATGCCATTCTTTCCTTCACAGTTTACTCTAAAGCCTTGCATATTCCTGAGGTCAGACTAACAGGTCTGTAACTGACCGAATCACTCTCCCTACACCCTTCTTAAATACAGGTATGACATTAGCTATTCTCCAGTCATATGGTACTACCTCCCTCCCCCCATAGATCAGACTTTCCACTCACCTACATGAAAAAAACAGCAAGACCGAGGCTGAAAACCGTGGGAAAAGAACAGCAGGTACACTATTTAGGACCTCAGGCAACATGTGTCTGAGCAGCTGTTTGTGTTGATGGGATGAGAGCATATTTCTCCTCCCCATGGTACCTACCTCCAATTTTACCACCCAATCCAGTTTGGGATTGGCAGCTGCCAGTTCAATTAAAGAGCATTGCAAGCATTTTTAAGGAACAGCCATTATTATAGAAACTCAACACAGGTTTCTGTTTTAATGAGAAAATAATGATAGACTTGCATTGTATGCCTCACAGTCACTATGAAACAAAAGCAGGATAACAACATTTAAGTGGTTAATGTATACAGAAAACCAGGGCTGGTCAGATTGGTTGATAAAACATGACAACAGCGTCACCTTTTGGCTGTAAAACAAATCACTGTTACTGTTTTTACTTTCCCATAATCTGAATAAGGAGCAAGATGAAGCCAAAACTTTTTGAAACAACAACAACAACAACTCAGGAAACCTGCATTTGTAACCAAAAACTGGATCGTTACAATTCTAATGCTTAACTATTTTTCATTACACACTTGCACTAAAACCAGTCTTTGTCACAGAAAAGGGTTTTTTTTTATCATTTCTTTTGTGGAGCCCAAGTTAATTTGGCAGTAGTGTTCCTTTGTTGCATTTGATTTATGTATATAGAGAGATGTATGTCTGCCTATATTTATAGACTTATACGCTTGGTAGCATGCAACTGAAATAAAGAGGCGGCAAGTAAACTGGATAGCATTTCAGTTATCATAGCACTGAACCATGTGCTGCTGACGATGATGATTTTGCTTCCATAATTTCTGGAAGAGAAAGGGTTGGGTGGTAGAGAGGTTAGCTCTACTCGACTGGTACATGCAAACATTTTTTATTGCAGGATATGTGAAAATGCTGCTTAGATTCCATCCCAGTACAAAGGATACCAAGATGGCAAAACCACACTGGTTTTATAGGAGATTGACTTTATTTTCACAGCAGGAGTTGGGGGGAAGGAGCACACAAAGCAGGAGATGCCCCGTGACAAGCAATATAAAGCTGAAGAAGTGACAGCCAATGTTTTATTTAGTTATTTATTTTTTACTTACAAAAAATAATCCCTCCAGAAAACAACAGATGCATGTTTCTTAAAAGGTAAGAGAGCCAGGAACTCCTGACAATGCCCTCAGCCCTAGGTAACTGCAACCACGCAGAGGGAGAAGCAAATTCATTTCAAAGGGAGCAAAAGCTGTCAGAATCCAACCACTGCAGTGAGAAGTTCAAATGTACATGCCTTGATGTAAGACCATTTCTCAGGAATGAGCCACTTATGACATACAGCTTGATACCGTGTAATATTGCTAGAGAAGCGCTTTCCAAGATTTAGCTATGTCCTCCTCAAACCAAGAGGGATCCAAACCCCCCTCAATACAGGCGTGCAACTCCTGTAAGTGTTACTACACACAATACCTGCCCATCAGCTGGGCAACAGACTATTGAGTGTGTGGAATTATACACTAACACACCTTTATTGAACCGGGTCAGAATCGACTAGATTGGCATTTCCAAACAGCTGGTCTATTTGTATATGTGTATACTCTTAAGTATGACACACTTTAAAGAAATCAATACAAGACAATTGCCCAGTTCAAAAGGGTTTTCTTTTGTTCATAGGCAATTCATAGAACAGGTTTAATTAATGTTTATTGCCACTTTTACTACAATCCCTGAACACAGTCTTCAAAATGTTTGACCGTGTAAAGGAACCTGTGAGACACGTGTCAAACCACAGGCTGGAAAGAAATTAAAAACAAAATTGTTTTGGTTGTAAGCTCTATGTCTGCCCAATAAAAGCACCAGAATAATGTTCACAGTATCTAAAGCCGTTTTAGGTGAGCCTCAGAATAAAACACCATGTCAGGTCACAGAGCAGTATGAAAACAGAAGAGGGATTTAGGGGAGAGTCAGCCTCTTGGCTGATTTAAAAAGAAGTTAAAATAATAATTTTAGGTTTATAAAAACAATACATACATGTATACGTCTCCTAAAGTTGATAATTTCTAGTCCAGAAATTATGGTTCCCGGTTGTAAAATACGTATTGTATTGCTTTGCATGAAAAGAAAGAGTAAACCTGGCAGCCTCTATACTACATATGAATACAAAGCACAAGAATAAATACCACATTTCTTTTCTAAATGTCAGATTACAAACTGCTCAATACTTCGCAATTGTGATTCATGCAAATACCGTGTCAGGTCAAATGTTAATATTACAAATACTGCATCAGCTCAGTGCCATTTTATATCCCTTTTCATAAAAAAGAAATTCTCACTCACCCCCATAGCTGGCAAACAGCTTTGGAGAAAATAAATCTGTACACCCATAGCTCTTGTTCATTCTAGGATTCCAACCTCACACACATGTGCGCGCTCACACCCAGACACACAACACCCTTCATCACTGATTCCAAGCCTATGCACAAACTAAAGGTTCTCTATTTTGCTTTTAGCTCTGAAAACACTGAACAGCAAAAATAATCTTTTTTCTTGCCTCTCTCTCACACACACTCTCTATTACCTTCTTTAACTTTTTATTTCCTGGAAACCTGTATACTCTACATTAACTCCAAGGCCTTTTACACTGTATAAATATAGTTAAAGACATAACTTTTTCCCCTTTGTTTCATACCTCTGTTTGTGCCAGCATCTGGCTTGATTAAATTATTGCCTCAGAAAAAATTAAATGTCATTTTTTGAGTGTGTTCCCCTCTGATCTTTCTGACTCAGGTTATTCAATCTTTATTCATTTTGTACATATGCCTCTGCCCACACCCATCATAAAAATAGTCATTGCCCGCTAAATACAGATTGTATATTTAGAAAGTTATGTAAATATGCACTGAGAAACTGGAGACCAGTTCATATTGCAAGTATACAGGATCCTAAAGCTAAGGTTATCCGTTTGGCTTGGCATTCCCCCTCAGCTCTCTCCTAAACTGACAGATTGTGTTTGCAACAGAACAGGATACTTTATTAAATATTCTGATTGCAAAACATGGATTGTACATTTGCAGTAACAGTCTCCAATTTTTAAATGAAAAATTAAGAGAAAGGGGGGAAAAAATCTTCAACCCCTCTCCCCCCCCAAATAACAGCAAAAACAAAAAATCATTGCATTTTATGGCTATCTAGAGTAAACCAAAGTAACATTAACGTTCTTAATGCAGCAGGTGGGATGATGGAGAAGCTACAGGCAAGTCCAAAGGAAGCCTGGTGACACAACAGGTTACTCTGGGCCAAATTGTCTCGTTGATACAAAGCAGGGCTGGAAATTCAGTTAGAAGGAAGCACATATATTTGCCCTGCCTTAAGTTTCTGCCAACTTCTTCAGCCTCCGATGCTGACCTGTTGCAATGGGTCTGCTGCCAACGGCGATGACACCCTTCCTTGACCAGTCCACCCCTAACATCCTCCTCTTCTTTTTTTGGGTGTGTGTGTGGATTTTGTGGGTGAGTTTTTCTCTTTCGCTAATGGTGCCTGGAGATGGAGCAATCCTGTCTCTGTGGATCAGTGAGCTTGCTGTATCTTTAATAAATATCAGATTAAATGATGATGTCTTTTTTGGTTTCTCGGTCCCAAACACCCGTTTTATTGCAAGGGGATTATTCATTCTCTTCCTGGTTGGCATAAATTCCAGCCTCCCAGCGTAGTGCCAGGGCACTCTTCCTGCGATTCACCCTGGTAGCCTCAAGGACCTGGAAAAGAAAAAACACCACTTACTTTGGTTCCCTTCTTCCACTCCTCTCTCCATCCATCTCCCAGCCCCCCCAATAATTACTAGCACACAGAGTTAAATTATGCAGCCCACGCTCACTACTCAATCACATCAGCAGCATGACTGAGGCTACTTATGTCTCTAAGGGCTTGCCAGTGTGAGCAAGGGTTACACCAAATAGCTCATAAGGTCAAAGCTGGACTATTTAAATCCTAATATTCATATAGTAGCCTAACTTAGAAGTGGAGAAGTCAAGTCTAGCTCTGCAGGCCTAACTCAGGATGCTGCATACTCCCCATCCCAGTTCAGACAGGTCAAGTGACAGCCAGCAGGGGGAGGATGGTTACGAAGGATCCATTTTCATTCGCGTGCGGGGATGACGTACAGCACAAGGTAACCACATACATACAGGAACCTTATCAGAGGCACAGTTCCAGCCCACTGTGGACAATGGGAGCCTTGTCATTGACTTCAATCAGCTTTGGATCTAGCTCTTTGTCTTGCAGACTGTTTTTCATTTAAACGTGTCATTACCTGTAGACACAAGGGTCCTTCACGCTGGCTTGCTGTGGTGTTTGGACTGAAGCAAAATCAATGAAAAAGCCATTGCTTGGAACACATGCATGGAAGAACACAGAGTCCTTTGGGTGAAAGAACCACACACCACATGCCTAAAGAGGGATGATGTGATACACAGGCCCGGTCTTTGCCACCGGCACAAGGGTAAAGTTCCCCCTTGGGGAATAAAAGGAAATCTCAGACATACTCCATCAGATCCTTCCTCCAGCATGCTGTTTGTCCCAACTCCTTCATGTCTCACCAAACCTTTGAGAACGTTCCCAGGCTTAACCAATGCCAGAGAAGAACCACATGGGTGATCTAAAGTTTGAACCAAAGCCCACTGAAATCAATGGAAAATTGCTCAATGACTTCTAGGGGCTTTCAACCAGATCCCGCACGAGAAACATTTTCAAGGGGTTTATAGATTTAGGTTAAAAAAATCCAAACCAACTATGATGCCGCTAAAGTGTCCAGGTTAGCTAGTGCTTTTCTATTACTGCCACCCTTGTTGCCCTCTGCCCCACCAGCGTGTTCTACACATATATGGCATGTCTTGGCGTTGTACAGACTGTCTGGCCTCTGGGGCTGGGATTGTGTTAAATCAGGTCTATAGACAGCCCAGCATAATAGGGCTCCAATCTGACTACAAATATCTGAATGTAAGAATGAGGACACTAGATACAAAGAGCAGCTGAAGGTAACCCAGCTGCCAGTTGGTGGGTGAGTAGAGGTTACTCGGTCTTGCAGCTCGTAACAATCCAGGACTGGACTCGTTCACAGATGTCAGCGTCTCCAGCTATATATGCAGTAAGGAGACTACAACTCCTGACAGACAGCTACAAATCATTGCTACTTGTGCTAAATGAGTATATTCTCTGTGGTCTAACCCTAGGATCCAAACTTTCATTTAGAGCTCAGAGACACTCAGCAGTTTGGGGAAAGAAGGGGTTTGGAAAAGCTTTGTTTGTGCCTTGTAGTTCGCATGCCCTCTAATTTCTTTTGACCCGGTGGATCAACAAACCCCAGAACTCAAGGTGAAACTAAGCCAGCACATGCAGTATTGAGTTGAAACCATATCTCCTTTCCTGGCAGCAATGGAGAGTGACTATGTGTGCCTGAAACTCAGTCCAGGTTTACTGGAATGTTATAGTACTGAAGATATGCGTAAAGCTACGTATAGCCTCTTTGTAAACCATTAGGAGGCAAGACCGTTCAAATGGAAGCAGGTCTGATTCCATCCAGCAGAGGGAGGTGGTGCTCACACTCCCACCAATATGTTTACAAGATAAAACCCTGCACCACTTCTTGAATAAAACTCCACAGAGACACTACAGGCGCTAATGGCATATTGATTCTGCTGCAGCTACAAAGCTGGGGACTGATGGTTTAAATGAGGTGTTAGGGATTCTGATTGCATAAACTATGCCCTCGGACAAGATCTCAAAGGGGTTCGGCACCACTGCCCAGTTTTTCTTGATAACTTGTTCAGAAGGAATAAAGGAACGCAGTCACTCTTTTAGCATCAGCGTAATAGGAAATAAACTTTGGTGCTTTCTTAGCTTCAAAACTGGGGAATGTTGCTGAGCAGTGGCAGAAGCAGGAGAAAACGGGAATGAGGATTAAAGAGAAGTGCAGGGTAAAGGAGAAGTAACATTCTAACAGGATATGAAAAATAAATACAAAAGACACCAAACTCAGGGCAAAAACCTGAGGCCCTTATCGGAGCAAAACCACCACGGCAGTAGAAGAGAGTTTCGCACAATTTGGGCCTGAGGCCTGGTCCCCACTAAGCCCCCACTTCGGACTAAGATACGCAACTTCAGCTACGTTAATAACGTAGCTGAATTCGAAGTACCTTAGTCCGAACTTACCGCGGGTCCAGACGCGGCAGGGAGGCTCCCCCGTCGATGCCGCGTACTCCTCTTGCCGAGCTGGAGCACCGGCGTCGACGGCGAGCACTTCCGGGATCGATCCGGGATCGATGTATCGCATCTTAACCAGACGCGATAAATCGATCCCAGAACATCGATTGCCTGCCGCCGGACCCTCTGGTAAGTGTAGACGTACCCTTAATTTTAGGCTAACGTAAAACATAATGGATTTTGTTTTAGTCCCAGTGTTCTAGGGCTGGTGTGAAATAAACATGGTTCCACTGACTTCAGTGCTGGTTTTTAACCGGCGGAGGATCTGGCCTTTTGGT